AGTTACATGTAATTAAGAACTTAATAACCATAATGATTCTCCTCTTTCCCCTTTCCCTCCCTGCTTTGTGGAAAGAAAAAACCAACCCATGTTAGTTGGTATCTGTGTATCTTAAGGTTTAATGTTGCACAGGACAATAATTACTGTTGTAAAAAGCCTTTGTTTCTTATGTAGTATATGCTGAAATTATGTTCTAAACCATGTTTGAAAATGAGAGACCTGAGACTGTCTTAAGAGATTTAAAAGCAAACACAAATACAGTGAAATTATCTCTGGGTTTTGTTTGGGTGTTTTTTTTTTTAAACAGTCCTTAAATAGTAAGTATTACTATTGCTAAACTCTAAACAAAATGGAGCAGGGAGATCTTGGGTAAGAGATGTTGCTGAAACTTCCTGATGCTTTCCCTTTCCAGCCTTGTGTGTGTTGCCTTGAACGAACAAAAAAGGAAATGCAGTACTGTAGCCATTCTGCCTCTGCTCTGACACTTCTTACAACAGATTTTCTCCCTGGCTTCAGCAGCACACATACCCCAGAAATTCTTTCCTTTCAGCCGCCTGCTTGTTCCGTGCTCAAGAGCAGAAGTAGGCAAGTAGAATTAGTTGATTGCTGCAGTGAATTTTTAAGTCTGGTAAGAGCAGTGTGTGCACTTTTGGTGCCATTTCTCTATTGTAGCTGAATAAAACAGTAATTGGTTACACATCTGCTCTTTACTGTTATTCTGATGAAGTATTTCCTGTGGCTGAATACATGGTAACATCTGTTACAGAAAGGTAGGTGGCAGAACTTTAATTTAACACACTGTAAAATATGCTGTGAGTTTAATTAAACAGCCTAGCTGAAGTACTGAAGTATCTTTGAATTCAGAAAGTAGTAATTGCCTATGGTCTAGATGTTTTCTAGGAGTTGTTTTTCTCCCCTACTTCTGCTGATTGACTTTGTCAGAAATTCATTTGGTACCATTCTCTTGACGCTTTGACAGATCGTTGGGTGAAGAACACTGTGCGAACGTAGCATTTTCGAAAACGACTGAGCAGAAAGCTCAATATGTCTCATAAGCTCACTTCTTAATAATACAGGACTTGTGAACTGCCACCCTCATTGAATATAGTTTAGTAATACGATGTTCTTCCCCCTTTTCCATTTTTTTTTCTTTTTTTCTCAGAAAGTACTTTTGTTCAGCTTTTTTTACTCTTGATAGCTAATTTTTAGCTTTTGTGAATTCAGCTTCATTTGGTTCAGGAAACAAGAGTCACATAATTCTCGGTGATTTTTCATCCTACTTGTAGAATTACTAAGTAGAAGGGAAGTGAATTTGGTGAATTTATCTTTTCAGAACCCATTTGTAACCCTCAAAAGTTATGATTAATTGCATCTGACTGGCAATATATAATGGGTCGTTTTGAAGCCTTTTTTTTCTTGGTTTGACTGGGGTTTGGTGCTTAGTCTTGACTTGTGTTAATGTTTTCCCTCACCCCCCTTTCCTGTCGTCTGGTGTGTTCTAACTACAAAAGTTTCAAAAATGTGAAAGACTTTGACTGGTTTGTATCCTGCTGACTGTTGCACTAATCAATATTTAATATGGTTTTCATAGGATATGTAACATGACACTGATATTCTGGACAGGTAATTTTCATTGTTTGAAAACCTTACATTATAAGGGGAATCAGGTAACTGCTAGAAATGAGCACCTTATTTATTTATTTATTTTAGCATCATATTGCCAAGGATCTGTTTTGAGAAATCTACTCTTGAAAAACCTATAGCTGCTTACTGTTGCAATTAGTGTCAAAATAGTTCTGAAATTGTCAAAATGAAATGTATATTTAAAGGGGCACCTGTCACTTTTTTTTAAACTGAATTTACATCGTGATTCTAAAAACTCTTTAATTATTGCTCCCTGACTGGAAGTTTATAAGGCTATTTGGTGGAATTCAGAATAATATTAAAGGCAGTGAAGCTAGTCCCCTTTGGCTTCTCCTTCCTGTCCTCTGTATGCACATGCCTGCTTGTTGCCCCTTTGGTTGCAGCTTTGCTATGGCCGGGTGCACCCTCCTGCAGAGCCTGGGGAAGA